ATGAAAACTCGATAATTCAGATAATTAGGCTCGATTACAAGCCGCTCCTCAGGCAGGAAGGTAGAGCGGACTCGAGTGAGTAGTGGAAATGGAGCGTACAAAGAAGTGAACACTCGGCTTCCAGTTGCCGTCTGGGACACCAAAACATTCAGTAAGTGCTTGCTTGCTTGCTGTTAACTGATGCATGTAGTTTCAGTTCTTGAAATTGGTTTTCAAAAGTCAAAGGTGACAATAACCGCAAAAATGTTCAAATGTTGTTGTTTATAGTGGTCAATGTGCTTAGCTACCCCTAGCTAGTTCACATGCATGCCACTTAAACTGAGAGAAACGAATATATCAACTAAACATAATAGGCTTAAAAATCCCAACTGGCGGAAGGAAGACCAGTTGGCTATTTACCAGCATGACCGAGGAGTTGAACTGGGGTCTCCAGCCTTGTGGTCGGTGCGGAACTTGAACCCGCGACCTCCGGATTTCAAATCCGACGCCTTAACCACTCGGCCACGCTGCCTCTGCGTTATCCCGAGGCACATGTTCCCTTATTTCTTGCAGGTCATCCGATCGGTGCTACAGGTCTGGCGCAGTGTGCAGAGCTTAATTGGCAGGTGATTATCATGTTTTCACCTTCTTTTAATCATTCTCCCTGTAAGAGGACTTCCTAAAAACCTATTCCAACACTGAATATTTTCGCGCATGGTACAGTAGCTCCGTTCTTAAAAGCAAGGACATAACTAAAAAGCCTGAAATTAATTCCACACTGACATAAATTCTAGTGTTCCAGAAATGTCCTACTAAGATATTCCTGAGTGATTTCTGTACTGGGTTACAATTTCCCAAGAATGTTTAACTCACCGTACCATTTTCACCTTTTAACCCGTTTGTACGTATGTTGCAAAAGCCCGATGCTAGTCGATTTTACGGCCAGCACAAATATTGGTCTCACTATGAACTGTGTGTCAAATTGTAGTTGTACCTGTCATCCGTCATATTATTCTTGATATCCCTAGTTAATTCAACTTCTTTACGCTACAAGCAATTCATAGTCCCATAACCGTCTTGAAATGCTTGACTGCCTATCAAGGAAGAACGCTCTTAAACTCCCAGGCTCAGTCTTAAGCTTTATAAGCTTCGTGTTTCCTCCGAGCAGGGCGAAAGAGGGTTGTCCTACATTCAAAACACGGACGGGGAAATTGACCGCGCGAAAACTTGGGTAAGGCTTGAAGGAAAACCCTGCGTACTTCATGCTTCTAGTTTGAAGATCTTAGAAGGAGGAAGAAAAACTACAACCTCTGTAGCCTTAGAGGCCTTTTAATGAATACTTGTATTCATTTTATTGTAAAGAGAGTTTTTGTTCGATTTTGTCCTTCACTGTTAGCTGAGAGGCGAAGCTGGCAAGCGGCAGGTGGACGGGGCATTGGTAGCTTTGCAACATAACTATGGAATCGGTGGAGCAGCTGTAGTGACCATGTACAGGAAATATAAACCAGAAGTCAAGACACAGCCTCATGCCAAGTTGTAACAAGGTGTCTCGCCATAGACAGCACAGCGGCGTAAACATAGCTGGGGAAGACAATTTATTGAGGAATGACTGTTGCAAAATGAAAGCTGAACGATATCAAGGTTATTTAAATAAAACAAGAAGACATGAATTATTTGTGACATAAACTGATGCAAAAGCTGCTCTGAAGGCTTATGCTGTAAGTAAAATGTTTTCTCGTTGTTTGTATTTTGACTCACCCTACGGGCTCGTCAAAATACGGCACGACTCGTAAAAATATACAGCGATACTACACACCAAAACGTCTAATGAGATATGTGTATTGAGTGTCCGGTGATCCGCGAAAACGAGTGGCGAAGCGGGGAGTGCCCTATGGGGGCCGGAAATCGTTTCTCCCACCAGGCTCCCCGCAGCATCGCCGTTTGCTCGCGCGCTCTACCCCAACTTAACCGCCAGCTACGCAGGCTAGCTCGGGACACGAAGATTTCCTTTCATTTCAGAGCTGCTTGTAAGTTATTCACATCTTTCTGTTATTGTTTCTAAGGCTTTCCAGGCTCAAATAGTTTCTATTCTGCTAGCCTCAATATTCTCACATACAAAAAAGAGTGTATTGAGAAATTTGCCCTAATTTAAGTCGCATTAATTTCCTATACCTTCATTTATACCATGTCATAGAAAATATAGCCAATCAGAATACAGGAAAGCCGTCGTATATTCGACGGTATTACATCCAACCTTCCCATCGTGTGCTACGCGTGTATGTGGCATTGATGGTGTTAGTCACTGTATTTTCTATGGCGTGGTATAAAATAGTTAAACAACGCTCTCTCTCATGGTATACCATGGATTATTTTACAGACATCAGTGTTGTACATTTAAAACAAATAAAGAAGCCTAAGCCGTGTATTACACTGTGATAAAACACGACGAGCATTTGGGAACACGAGGGAAGTGTAGAAAACACGAACTGCAGGCGAGTGTTTTCTTCAGTTCGTATAGTGTGATCGT